CTTCATTTTTCTTCCATTGATCTATGGGTCTATTTTTGTGCCAGTATAATGTTGTTTTTATGACTATAGCTCTGCAATACAGCTTAAAACCTAGTATAGTAATCCCCCTGGCATTTCTCTTAGTGCTCAGGGTTGTTTTGGCTATCCAAGGTCTTTTGTGCTTCCATATGAATCTTAGTATGTTTTTTTTCCAATTCTATGAAGAATGTCATAGAATTGACATAGAATTTGGTTGGCATTGCATTGTATCTATAAATGGCTTTTGGTAGGATGGTCATTTTCACAATATTAATTCTTCCAATCCATGAGGATGGGAGGTCCTTCCATCTTCTGATGTCTTCCTCAATCTCTTTCTTTAAAGATTTAAAATTTTCATTGTAGAGCTCTTTAATGTCTTTGGTCAGGTTTACTCTGAGATATATTTTTGAGGCTATTGTGAAAGGGAATGTTTCCATGTACTCTTTCTCTGATTGCTTGTTATTGGTATATAGAAAGACCTTCTCTGCATCTATTGAGATGACCATGTGGGTATTGTCTTTGAGTCCATTTATGATTTATGAAGTTTATTGACTTACGTATGTTGGAGCCCCAAGATTCTGGAATATTTTTAAATGTATATTTTAATTTAATTTTTGTGCATTTCATACAATGCATCTTAATCATATTTAGATCCCCCATCTGCCTCCCCCACAGGCCACCCGCAGGATTTCATCTATTCTGTCATATGTTAAGGCCTATTGAGTCAAGTTTCTGTACTCCACTGTCCCTCAGTGTGAGTTCATCCACTGAAACCTGTTCACCCTGTCTGGTGTCGCTCCCTTCAAGAAGATCAACTTCTCCTCACCCAGCAGTGGTCAGCTGTCAGTAGTTCCTCAGCTAATTTTGGGGACCCCTGCCTGTTTTCCCAGCTCTTTGCTGGTTTTTGTCAGTTGCGTTTGCATGGGTCTTGTGCATGCTGTCACTATTGCTGTAAGTTCATAAGAGCAAGTTCCCAGAAGCCTGGAAGACTCTGTGTTCTTATGATCATGTACTACCCCTGGCTCTGAGACTCTTTCCTCCCCCTCTTCCACAGTGGCCACTGAGCCCTGGGTGGGTGAGGTTTAATATAGAAGACGTATCCAGGGACATGCATTCTTTAGTTTCTTATTCTCTACACTTTGGCCATTTGTGGCCTTCTGTGTTCATTGCCTGCAGTTACATGAGGAAGCTTCATTGATGAGAGTTGAGAGATGCATTTTATCTCTACCGCTTATTCCACTATGTTCCATGAGCGTTAGGTATAGAGGTTCCATTGTAGATATGCCATTTTGGGTTGGGCATCTCACACAGTTTTTCTCTGTGTGTGACCCGTTGTGAAACTGTTCATCTGTTGCAAAAGAGCCTTCTTTGATGAGTGGTACTGGTATGCTTGTTGTAAATAGAAGAATACATATTGAGCATACAGTAAAAAATTACGTTCCCCATGTCATTCTTCACAGAATTAGGAAAAGACATTTAAAATTCATCAGTGGCCATTTATATAAAGTAGCTTTTCCCCTTTGGGCTGCTATCTTTTGGGTGTGTACCCAGAGGTGCGATTCCTGGATCGTAAGTTAATTTTGTGCTGAATCTTTTAAAGAACCATCACATTGTTTTCCAGAATTGCTTACATTTTAGAAGAAAAAAACCTGTTGCTTTGTATCCAGTAGGTATCCAGTAGAAAACTATCACAGCTTGGGATCCAGGGGATACAAATTTCCACCATGTGTCAACTTACAGCCCTATTAGAAGTCCTGGTTCCCAGGATGACATCAGTGGAACTCAAACCTCTGAGTGCAATAGCTCCCTGGCAGTGCTGCATGCCACAGACAATCTGTCACTGACAGAAAGGATTTCAGAGAGCAGGGGCTCCTCTTCCAGTAATCTTCCTGACTACTTTTGGCCAGTTCCCAGCATCAGTAGCGGAGCCAGCAGGGATAGGTGACAGAGGAGCTCTTTTGGCTTCACATTAGTTAAAATAACCATGACGCCCTGTATTCATTACAACAAAAATACCTGGCAAAAGCAGCTTAATAGAAAAGGATTTCTTTTTATTTGTGGTTTATAAGGAGACAGTCTGTCATGTCCGGGAAGGCATTGTGGTGGGAATGGGAGGTGACTGGTCACATTGCATCTGTAAGCAGTCAACAGAGGTCGATGAATGCCTTCCTCCTTTCTTCCCATCCAGGACCCTAACCCATGGGATGATGCTGCCCACATTCAGAGTGGGTTTTCATTCCTTAAGATAAACCTCTCTGGAAATGCCCTTACAGATGCACCCATAATATATGTTCTAGATGATTCCAAATCCCATCAAGTTCACAGTCAAAACCCACCATCACACCCCATTTACACTTTGTACAAAACACTTTTCCCTGTTGCAGTCACCACCCATTTTCTTCCTCGTCAGGTAGTCAGGGGCTGAGTAAAGTCTCTGCTAGTAAATAGAATACCTGGTTCCAAGGTCCCTATTCTTCACTCAGCATGTGTGTAAGTGAAGCTTTCTGAAGCCCACTGCTCTTATTAAGTGGAAGGCACCAGGTTTATCAAAAAAACATTCCCAAACAATGCACTGATCGCATGTTTAGAAAACGAGACTACCAGCAGAGTTCAAGCCCCCTGTACCCGCCTCAGTGCCACTGCACCCCTCCTTTACCGTGTGTGACAGTGTGGAGCTGAAGACCTCTGCCATGCCATGAAATGCATTGACTGCTAGCTTCTCATTTCTATCTGCTCCATGTGCAGGCAGTGTACGGTGCTGTTAGAGAAATGGCATCACATTGAACATGCCCCTCTTAAACTGACTTTTTCCTTGTTTCCGCCAGGGTGATGGTTTTGCATTTTATCTGTCTGGAAATGTAACTCTTCTTTGTCTTCTGAAGGAATAGAATAGGTTAAGTGTGTAAGGGTGCCAGAAGTGGATTTGAGGAACAGTTCCTCTAAAACCAAGAACCAACAAATTCTTTAATGTATTTTATCTCAAAGATTTAAAGTGTTCCTTCTCACATTTAAGTCTAATTCACCAGGAATCTATGATGGTATACAGTGAGGTCAAGATTGAACTTTTTCCATACAGTTAAACAGTTCGGCATCACTGATTGCTTACCCATCCTTTGTGCACTGGCATGTGCCACGTGCAGCATGCTTTGGATGTCCTGCCCTGAGCCTGTTCCTAGGCTTTCTCCTCTGCTGCCCTGGTCTCTGTCCTCAGATGAGTAGGCTGAGCCTGAGCATATATCTCAGTGTTTGGAGAGCCCACGCCCTAAGTAGCTTCTTCAAAGGTCACTTGGCTATCCTGAGCCTTTTGTTCTTCCCCATCCATTATAGAATCAGCTTGTCATACTCGTTGATGAAATTCTTACAGCAATGATATTTAGTGGGGTAACTTAAAAAGAAAGCTGATGTGAGTTCGAGACCAGCTTGGTTTCCATAGTGAAAGAACTGATGTCTTTCTAACACTGAGCCTTCCTATTTATAATATGAGCTATCTCCCTATTGGCAGTGTCACTCAGTGGTTTTGTGCTGCACTTCACAAAGGTCTTATACATCTTTTGTTGACTTTATTCCTTTGTACCTCATCATTTATTAATCAACTCAGACTATATTTTCAGTTACTGTTAATGCCCAAGGAATATGGCAAAAATTCTTGAACATATTTGTTTCTAAGATATTTGTGTGTGTGTGTGTGTGTGTCTGTGTCTGTGTGTCTGTGTGTGTGTGTGTTTGTGTGTACATGAATACAGGTACCTGCAGAGGCCAGAGGTGTCAGGTCCCCTAGAGCTGCAATTGCAAGAGGTTATGAGCACCCTATGTGTTGCTGGAAACTGAATTCAAGCCTTCTACAAGAGCATTCTGTGCTCTTTAATCACTGAGCCATCTCTCCAGCCCCTAATATTCTTATAATGACTTTTAGTTAAGTCAGCTTGTAGAACTCTAATATTTTCTATAAATTTGTCTATGTTTTCTGTGTAGGCATCTTATCTTTTCATTTCTATCATCTAATGACAGTGGTTTGGTTTCTTCTTTTTCAAAACATTATAAATTGATGTTTGTCTTGTCCTACTATTCTGGGTAGGACTTCTAGAATGATATTGAATAAAAGCAATAAAGGTATGATTGAGCTAAGAGTGTCAGTGTCAGATGAACTGCTTTCAGCTTTCCTTCCTTCCCTCCCTCCCTCCCTCCCTCCCTCCCTCCTTCCCTCCTTCCTTCTTGCTGCTATCTATGTACTTCAGAACCCAAGGCCTTACTCTGCTTGGTGTTTTGTTCTACTAGCAAAGCATAACTTAAGTTGTGTGCACACGCACCTGCGTGTGTGTGTGTGTGTGTTCACATGGCAAAGTTCATTTCTGAATATCCAATAGAATATAGGGAATAGAAATTTCCCCCAGAAGTTGGTGTACCATCCTTTCCACCTGTACCTCCCTATGGAGACTCCCATAGAGATATGTGATAGGATGGAAAAATGAGATCCACTGTTTTAGGTGGTAATACCATAATGTCTTGACAGGCCCCATGACAACAAAAGTACTCCTTGGATTCTCTTAGAAGACGTAAAAAGTGAAAATACTCCAGCACATGACTTGGCAGTGCCTCGAGGGTAAAGCTAGGGAAGGTGCTCACACATGACCCTTAGGATGATGGAGTAGCAGTAATTTCTTTTTTTTTCTTTTTTTTATTTATTACTTTTATTTTATGTGTATGAGTGTATTGCCTGCATGTAGGTAAGTGCACCTGTGTTGTGCAATGCCCACGGAGGACAGAAGAGGCTGTTGGATCCCCTGGAACTGGAGTTACAGACAGGACAGTTGTTAGCTGCCATGTGGGTGCTGGGATTCAAACCCGGGTCTTCTACAAGAACAACCAGTGTTCTTAACCACTGACCCATCTCTCCAGCCCCAGTAGTAGCAATAATTTCTGACTTGGTGTTTTCCTTTAACTCTTCCTCTGGCAGAAAGTCATTTTAACCAGCAGTGCCAGTGTCGTCTTCGAGGGCGTTGACATCAAAAATGGAACTGAAGACCTTCCCTATGCCACGAAGCCCATTGACTACTACACAGAGACCAAGATCTTGCAGGAGCAAGTATGTACTTTTGAGCCGGTTGGGTGAGCAGATACCTGAAGGGTTTACATTTCTAAAAAATGTTTATGAAAATGGGAAATTTACTGTTTTGAGGCCCAAATACCCAGCTTGGGAAGTAAATTCATGTGTGAAATTAAATTTTAAAATAACAACACAATAATAATGTGTTCAAATGCTATCCTGAGTATTTGGAATTGCTTCCTTTAAACTCCAAAAGGGGTTTTGGAGAGACAGCTTAACAGTTAAGAGCATACACTGCTCTTGCAGAGGACCTGAGTTCGGTTCCCAACACCAGTGTCAGGTGGGTTACACCTCCTATAACCTCAGCTTCAGGGATTCCTGATGCTTCTGCAGACCCCACACACGTGTACATGCACACACAGACACACACACTCACATAATACATAAATAAAAATAAATTTTTTTATTGTTTTTATTTTATGTGTATGAGTGTTATACCTGCGTGTAGGTAAGTGCACCCGTGTCTTGCAATGCCCATGGAGGACAGAGAGGATGTCAGATCCCCTGGAACTGGAGTTATGGACAGTTGTTAGCTGCCATGTGGATGCTGGGATTCGAAACCGGGTCTTCTGCAAGAACAGTCACCGTTCTTAACCACTGAGATATCTCTCCAGTCCAAAAAATAAAATATTTTTAAAATATCCCAGGAAGCAGAGACAGCTGGATCTCTGTGAGATTGGGGCCAGCCTGGTGTACATAGTGAATTCCTGGCCAGTTGGGGCTACAGGGAGACCCTGTCTCAAAAAAAAATCTTAAAAAAAAATTACAGGTGAATACACAGTTCCAAGGGATCTGGCAGCCTCTTCTGTCCTCCACAGGCATTGCACAACACAGGTACACTTACCTACAATCAGACAATACACTCATACACACAAAATAAAAATAATAAAATTCAAATTAATGCTGGCTATGCCCCTGTACTAGATTGTCACATAGCTCACCAAGCTTCAGGTTTACTGAGCTGGAAGAAAAGATAAGTCACCATTCCACTAGGAACCTGAAAGAAGCCAGGCATGGTGGCACACACCTTTAATCCCAGCACTCGGGAGGTAGAGACAGGTGGATCTCTGTGAGATTGGGGCTATTCTGGTCTACATAGTGAATTCCTGGCCAGTTGGGGCTACAGGGAGACCTGTCTCAAAAAAAAATCTAAAAAAAAAATTACAGGTGAATACACTGATTTACAGAGGGATCCAGAACCTTTATCAAAGATCCTATGAGTTCCATGTAGCTGGGTTGGGCAACATTGTGAGCACTGAGGCTACCAGGGTTCTGGGATCCTGACAGCTGCTAGCTCCTCCTGAGCTATTACCATGAGCTTCAGTCTATCCTGTACTGCAGGCTGGGGTGACTCTGAGCCCTACACAGCTCACTTTGGCAGCTGTGACATAGGTCTCTCAGACCTTTGCATGCATCATGCACTGACGTTTCCTCTCAAAGCCAGCTGCCTATTCTCACTTTAATCTCCAAAAGCCACCACCAAACCTGTGTTACCATGCACTGACGTTTCCTCTCAAAGCCAGTTACTTACTGAACTGAAGCTCAGCACTGAACTGGAATGGGCCCTCCAGTGATGCCTGACAGCCAGCTGCTAGCAGCTGCCTATTCTCACTTTAATCTCCAAAAGCCACCACCAAACCTGTGTTGCAGAAACACAAGGATTTCTTCAAACCAGGCTTGGCCTTTGACTAGCTGTACTCCTATGTCCAAGCTATGTCCACATGCTCTGTGGAACTAGACTTGAGGGAAACTAAAGCCTACTCTGGGCCTTCAGACACTTATCAGTCGCCCCACAGGCCCTGTGTAGTATCATCTGAGGTGCTGGGTCTCCAACCCACAGTTGAGTAGGCTCACCAGTTCCAAATGGAAGTCTGGCCTCAGACCATTGATGCCTCATTGACGTGGATGTTTGAGTGCTTGACTGGAAATAACAGAGCAGGAGCTCCCAAGAGCAACTCGTCCAGAGCTTTGTTTCCAAGATCAGTACTACTGTTGCCTTTAAAGTTTACTACTACTAAACCAGATGTAGTACTGGTCTAGGAACCTTCAAACTCCATTCCCTTTAGTAGTAGAGACAGCCATGGTAGAGGTCATTCACAGGCTGGGCCGTTCCCTTCAGCACCACAGGGACCAGGGCCTTGGCAGCTTCATGAGGGAAGCTCTCGTTACCATGAACTCAGTCATCAGTACGTTAAAGTGGCTAGGGCTGAAATCAATAACCATATTTTGCCATCATGGCATAGAAGTCCCAGGTGCTATATCATGAACTTAGCGAAGCAGTTGGTGTGGATCATATTTAATTTTCATACAGCCCTGTCAGGGTGGGAACCTTTATGGTCCCTGTTTTTGCCAAAAGTATAGCAGATCCTTTGATAAATTACTTTTGAGACAAAATCTGTTTCTCTGTAGAGTCATACACTACTTACGGATGGAAACATTCTGAGGAATGGGTGATTTTTGTTACTATGGGATCATAGAGTATACCTGCACAAAGATGGCTGTGGTATCCCTAGCCATGTGAGACCACCATTTTGTGTGTCTGTCTGTCTCTCTGTCTGTGTCTGTGTCTGTGTACATGCAGGGAGGGGGTTTTGCATGGACGTGTGTGCATATGTGTGTTGGGGACCAGTGACAACCTTGGGCTTCATCTTCAGGATTATTGTCTACCTCTTTGGAAACAGGGTCTCCAAGGCCTGGGGCCCATCCATTGGACTAGACTGGCTGACTGGCAGCCCCAGCCATCCTCCTATCTCTGCCTTCCTTAGCATTGAAATTATAAGCACAAGTCAGAGCACATTTTCACGTAGGTTCTAGAGCTCTAACTCAGGTCCCTATGCTTGCAGGGGCAAGCACTTGACTGAACCATCACCCCAGCTCTGTGTGTCTGTTGTTGACCGAACTGTTGTTACATGGTACATGACTCTACTTGAAGCCTTGCATTCTAGTCTTGCACACAGCCCCACAGCAGACATCTCTGTCTTCCTGTAGTGGTGGCAGGAAGACCAGCTGCTTCTTGTAGAGCTTTTCTACCTCTTGTCTTTTGCTTGCCCACTACCATGGACTTCACAGTCTTCATTTTCTCCAAGGTTGTACACTCACTATCAGCTAACCAAGCCAAGCCTGGAGGAAAAGTGTTGGTGAAACTGATAGCTATTTTGGTGTCGCAGCCTCACTGGAGGCTAAAGGCTACCTCAAAAACGAGAAGTCCCAGATCTTTTCCCTAACTGCCAGGATACATCTTCTGGTCGCATGAGTACATCTCAGCTCTACCTGGGCCTGTCAGTGTCATTTTAGTTGGTTTTAGGCTGCTGTCTCCTGCATACTTGGATTTGGAAATGTGGGTGACATAGAGAATTATACCAGGGGCTGCTGTGGTCTGTCAGCCTGAGGCACACATGCTCTCCAGTTGTCTGTCCCCTATTGGGAAGTGCTATATACACAGCAAGGTACCATCTTGAGTCAGGCCAATTCTTTACAATGAACCCATTCTCTCCTGCTCTTTTTCAGGTAGTACTGGATGCCAATGATCCTGAGAGGAATTTCTTAACTACAGCCATCCGTCCCCATGGCATCTTTGGCCCAAGAGACCCCATGTTGGTCCCTGTCCTCATTGATTCAGCTAAGAAGGGCAAAATGAAGTTCATGATTGGGTAAGACAGCCCCTGTTGCTCTTTACCCCTCCCTGACCCATGTAAGCACACATGCATGTCAAGAGGCTGTGTATTACTAACTCTGCTCACGATACTGTAACAAAATAGGATAGTCTGGGTAACTTCACAAACACAGGGAATGTATTGCTCACACAGTTCTGGAGACTGGGAATTCAAGATTAGGCATCAGCAAAATTGTGTACTAAGAACCTCTTCCTCATAGATGACACCTGCTGTGTATATTTGCATAGCTCAACTGCCAGACAGCCCCCCCCCAAACCTCTTTTATAATGACAGTCATGATGGCAGAGCTCTCATGGCCTAATCACCCCTCAGAGTATCCACTTCTTGGAGATTAGGTCCTAACATTCAGACCATGGATGTGACCTCCTCTGTTGTCCTCTGTATTTACTTCCTGGGGCTTCCACATCAAGTTACCACGAATAGTGCCTAAAACGATTGACCCTTCCAAGGCCTGACTCCTTCTAGCAGTGTTGCAGGCCTCTCCCTGAACTTCTGGTAGTTGCCAGCAATCCCTGCTCCTGCTTGCCTGTTGACTCATCCCTCCTGCCACTGCTTTCCTTGGTTCCTGTGTCCAAGTTTTCCCTCTTCTTCTACAGATATCAGTCATTGGGCTATGGCATCTAGTATGACCTTAACTAATTTGGTCTGCAGAGACCCTATTTCAACAGGTCATCTCCGCAATTTCCAAACTAGTATGTGTTTAGGAAAGACACTGCTTAGTTCCTTGTCACTAGATATTCTGTCATGTACACTGGGAAGATATGTGTCCCTGTTTAGAAATTAAGGAAACTGAGGTTCTGAGGAAAAGCAATTTCCCTTGAGTCTTTGCATGTAGAAGGCAGGTGGTATGTTAAAGAAGTTGAGGATGGAGGCTGGAGAGATGGCTCAGCGGTTAAGAACACTGACTGCTTTTGCAGAGGACCCGAGTTCGATTCCCAGCACCCACATGGCGGCTACGAACTGTCCTCAACTCCAGTTCCAGGGGAATCCGAAGCCCTCTTCTGACCTCCACAGCATTACACAACACGGGCCCACTCACATACACACAGGCAATACACTCATACACATAAAAATTTTTTAAATAATAAATTTTTTTTTAATTTTAAAAAAAAGTTGAAGATGAGAGCAGGGTGTTGTCATCTGAAAACACACCTTTGCTTTTCCGTTTCTTTCTTCTTTTTACCACCTTGTCTTGCTTATAAACCTCACCACTGCCCTGATGCGACGCTTTGAGGGATTCCAAACACAGTGGTAGGAAACGGAGAGACTAGAGCCAGGCATTGGCCTGGTGTATCCTGGAAAAGTGTTTAAGATTTGTGCCCCAAACAGGTCCCCAGACAGCACTGGTGCTGGTCGTGCTGAAGCATGCAGGACACTGAGCTCTCATATCCTTGGTTGTCCCTTAAATATTCCACTGCCCCAAGCACCCCAGAAGTCCTGGATGACCACAGTTTATTATGTGTTGCTGTCACTCGGGTCTAGCAGGTACAGGAACTGTTGAGGCAGGCAGTGGTTAGTCTCTCACATGTCTGAGTGCAGGGCTCCATGGAACTCAGAGCCAAGCACTTCTAGCACAGGTGAACCATTCCTTGTGTGCCTGCAGAAATGGGGAGAACCTGGTAGACTTCACCTTTGTGGAGAATGTTGTTCACGGACACATCTTGGCTGCCGAGCATCTCTCCCAAGATACAGCTCTGGGTGGGAAGGTAAGACACTTGCTTCTTCCAACACTCTGGGACTCTCTAGGGAATTCTACATCACTACAACATCCTATTACTGTGAACAGTAATAAATCTCTGGGATTGACCAGAGATTTCTGACTTTGTTCGTTAAAGCCTGGTTGCCCGTGGGCCCACATCTTCACCCCCTCAAACACATGCGCAGATCACTGAGGTCTCACACTCCTCCAGCAAGTAATATATCTGAATTTCCTGATACTTAGCACCCAGCAGTCAGAACAGTGCTGGGAAGGCCTGTTCAGCCCCACCCCTTGTCTCCTATTCCTAGGGCACCCACCATCTTTGTTCCTTACCCCTAGCTCTGTAATCCTTTCTCAGTGCTCAGCCCTCTTTTTCCCCCCCTGAACATTTGCCAGTTTTCCACTCATAAGTGGGGATGGCTGGAAGAAGGGAGGTTGTGGCTTTTGATTTAGAATAAAGCATGTTTGCAAGATGTAGTATGGACCATCCGTTATATCCAAAGATAAGACCATAAATTTTCCAAGGGAAAATAATTACATTACCAAATGGAACTGTCTGAGTACAACTAAACTTCACTTAGAGTCCTGGTCTGTTGGTAGAACTTGTATCACCTTCTCTCTTCCGTTGCATTGCCCTCCCTCTCTACCCTTAGACACCGCCCAGTCTGAGAGTCCAAGGCAGACTGTGATGGGCTGCAGCAGGTACACGTGCGAGACCTCAGAACACCTTCCCCATGCTTTTAGCTGTCCTGCAAAAGAGCTTAGGCACACAGGCAGAGTATGGCCTCAGTTTCCCACAGTAAGAGTTGTGGATGGAGCCAGCAACTGTAGCTGAGCTTGGAGACACGTGTGTGTCCTGTTCACCCCATCAGCTGTGGAGGGCTCTCTAACTTTCGGTTCCTTTACCAGGCATTCCACATCACCAACGACGAACCAATCCCTTTCTGGACATTCCTGTCCCGTATCCTGACAGGCCTTAATTATGAGGCCCCCAAGTACCACATCCCCTACTGGTTGGCCTACTACCTGGCCTTCCTGCTGTCCCTGCTGGTAATGGTGGTCAGTCCTATCATCGAACTCCAGCCCACTTTGACACCGATGCGGGTCGCGCTGGCCAGCACATTCCACTACTACAGTTGTGAGAAAGCCAAAAAGGTCATGGGGTACCAGCCACTGGTTACCATGGATGATGCTGTGGAAAGGACTGTGCAGAGTTTTCACCACCTGCGGAAGGTCAAGTGAGGCGGCACCCTGTAGTCAAAACCATCTCAGTGATGATTGTCCGTGCCAATAGCTCTTTTCTCTCTGCGTTGATGAACTAATCTTTCAAATGACTTTCTTCTGTGCTATGCCTTCCCTTGCTGGTTAGATGGAAGCACACCTAGCTCCCTCCATGACAAGGAGGGCAGTAAGAACAGCTGGCATTTCTCTCCGTATAGCATTGGATTTTTAAAGCAGGCAGAGCCGTTCTACTGTTTTTGTTTTTCTCCATCCATCCATCTGTCCTCCCTCCCTTCTTCCCTCCTCTGAGTTCATTATCACAAAGACTTCCCTGAATGGACCAACAGTAAAGTGAAAACCACAAGACTTGATTCAAGGAATTATATCTTAATGATATCCAGAAAGCACACCCAGAAATTGTAAACTCGTGGGGAAGACTTCAAATGTACATTTCACATTATCATAGTTTAGCGTAGTTAGAGGTATCGATGACTCACAATCCCTAAGGAGAAGTATGCTGCTGGTTCCTCACCTTGCATGCTTCCAAGGTCTGTTTTGGGGGTGGTTGTAGTGTCTGCCTCCATTGTTTTTCCATGAAACGTTGCTCTTTATCAGCAAAATCTGGTGGTGATGGTTTTTAGTGGCCAGTGGTGATGTGGCACAGTGTCAGCTGGTCCACTCCTGTCTCACATGGGATATCAGGCTGGTTGACACTAAGCCAGAGAGAACAGCCTCTTTCATCTCCATGAAGTTTGGTAAGAAACTCCTCCATTAGATATGCAGAAAGGGCTACATCCCTGCAGCTCGCCTTGTAGAACACAGCAAACCAACTTCCAAAGAGCACAGTACATACAGCAATCTAGCTTTTTCTAGTCTCTGGAGACGTTCTTTCTCCTTACAGAACCTGATTTCCTCTCAATTCATTCAATTGTGATCTTAAGGAATTCCATTTTCTTTATCATTGTTCAAGGGCAGAAAGGTGATTGGGAAAAAATAAAGGTGTATAAGCCATACAGTTTGTGTTACTGACTTATTAGCTCTGCCTGCAGAGAAACCATGCTGGGCTGCTGGGGCATTGAAACATAACTGCAAATAAGACACCACCTTTGCCCCCTGAAGCTCTTCAAAGAATGGAGCTAAACCCCTGTAATACTGATTGAATCAATGAATTGATGCACTCACATAAGACAAAGTGGTTTCTGCAGGGCAGGTTCTGCATTAAGTTGGACTTTAAAGGATAGAAAAATAAGTCAGTAGGTGCAGACCCATCAGTTGGCATTTTAGGCTAAAGACGTCAGTCTCAGTCTCCAGCTTTCAGCAGCATGTTGTGTTTAACAGGATGTGAAAGAATAATGTATCTTGCACTCACCCTGGTGAGTGCTTCAATTCAATAGAGGACAAAAGTGGGGAAGCAGCAGGAGGTTGGTCAGGGTAAGGACCGTTGTTCTGACAGTTCATACAATCAGCAGTTTACGCAATGGAGTAAAGAAAGGATCAAGAAAATCCTTGTGAATTCTCTACATGGAGTACCAGAGAAGTGTCAGACACCCTAGTAATGTCGTAACAGTGGGTTAGAAATGAAGACTTAATGGAAGCTCTTAGAAAGGAATCAGAACTCAACACAGAAAAGGAAGACCCGACTTAGACTGGAAAAAAGCTCTGAGCTGATGAAGGTCTGTGCTGGATGACAGGGTGGCAGACCTAGCTGACAAGCGCTGAGAACAAAACTCCTTTATACTACCTTAAAATGTTAACAACTATCTGGACCAAAGATGGCCCTTGTCAAGCTTGGTTTTCCAAATCATTCCGGTCTTTTACTTTGTAAACTTCCCGTCGCTGTGACAAAATACCTGACATAAACAACTTTAGAAGAAAGGAAATGTTTATTTTGGCTCATGGCTTCAAAGAGCTTATTCCATGGTTGCTTGGCTCCATTGTTTCTAGGCCAGTGATGAGGCAGAGCATCATGGCAAGAGCAGATGATAAAGCTACCTACGTCATGTTAGAAGGGAAAAGAAAGAGAGGAAAGGAACTAAGGTCCCCTGTCCTGTTCAAGGACATACCTCAGTGACCTAGGTTCCTCCCATTAGCACCATGGGATGGGTGCCAAGCTTCAACACGTGGACCTGTAGGGGACATTCAAGACCCAAACTGTAGGTATGTTCTCATTTTGTTTACTTACTTAGTCATCACATAAGCACTGGGTGCAGCCCTGAGCTCCAGCAGTCAGTACAACTGTCATAGTTCCTGCCTGTCCAGAACAGAGCCACGCAAACTAGTATGTAAATGGAAACTTCCAAATTCCAGAAGGGAAAAGTACAGGGAGTAGAGAGATGGCTCAGCGGTTAAGAACACTTGCTGCTCCTGCAGAAGACCCAGTTTGGTTCTCAGCACCCACAGGGCAGCACGCAATTGTTTATAACTCTGGTTCCAGGGGCTCTGACTCCCTCTTACGGTCTCCATGAGCACCAGATGCACAGTGATGCATTTAACACCTGTGCAGGCAAAACTCTGATTCACATAGAATCAAAATAAATCTTCAAAACAAAAAGGGCAAACTGCAGAGCATCATAGGCAAGAAATAGGGCTGCAAGTATACATGGCACAGGTGGGAACTAGATCTAGTCATGGAAGTGGTGGCCCTTCAGACCCAAAAGATGAGATATGGTTAGTCAGGAAGAGACTGGGGAGCCGTCCAGATAGACCCTGAGCTCCGAGCTGGTGGGGTGGATGCTTTCTATGTGTAGGGAGTACTTTGGCTGCTCTTTCCCTGCATTTCTCACTCAGGCCCACGCACCCTACACCCATTTGAAGGAAGTACAACTGCCAGGAAACTTCAGCCCCAGGCCTCCCCCTGGACCTGCTAGACTCAGGGGCAGACATGGCAGTTTGTGTCCACAAGCCTTTCAAATGGTTCCAGACCACTGAAGTAGCTTTTTCCAGGTCACTGAGTCCAGCTAGAGCCTCACCTCAGTCACTGCAAGATGGAACTTGCCCTGATCACCGGCCCAAGTCCTGGATAGCCCCACCTGCTCCATTCCTGGTGGCTGATGGCCCAAAGTGACTGCCTGCAGTGTGGAGCAAGGCCTCTGCCTCTCCCACATAATACTTTCTGTCTGGACAATCATGGCCAGAGGGAGGCAGTTCAGGCCTAGCTTGGGGAGAGCTAAAACCGTGTGGCCATTTTCTGCATGTTTATTGGGGTGATGTCCCATTTCACTCCCTCTTCCTCTACAGCCTCTGACCTAGTTCAGCAGAGCCCGTCTGCACCGTCTGCCAGGTGTGCTGTGACAGCAAGCTGAACTATCTCTCCTCCAGTCCAATCTCTGTACTCTGTCAGGCCTAAAACAATTCTAGGTTCTGCTTTGCCAGCAGCAATGCCTTAGCGGGGCCCAATGCTCTCCCTCCCCACATTCCCAGCTCCTGCCACTGGGCTTACACCTGCTGTGTTCCAGCAAAACGCCAGGCTCTGCCTTGAGGTCCACAGTGGCCAGTCGTCCCCCTCCTGGAATCCCAGCTATGTCCCCTCTCTGGATTCCTGGCCTGTGACTCTTGATCCTCACCTCACTTTGTGCTTATTGCTTTTGCTGTCTCCCATCTCCACCATGCCAGAAGTGACTTGAGGCCAGAGACAGCCAGTGTCTGTGAGTTCCTGAATTAGCTGCTCCACTGTGGGGTCCCGTGGGTTCCAGGCTTGCTGTGTGAGGCCTCCCTTCATACCCTCTCTCCTTCCCACTCCTCTCCTGTCTCTAGGAATGCAGCTTGTGGGCCCCACCCACCTCCTCAGCATCATTCTCCTCTGGCCCACATACTTGGGGGCATCTGAGTTTCCCTTTCAGACTTCATCTGTGACTTCATTTCTTTCTCACAATCCCCCCTCCTTTCCTGCATCTCCATCAAATTATGTCTTCGGTCATACAGTAACCATTGGCCCAGCTGCTTACCATCCATGTAAAGACTCTATAGACTTTCCTGCTCCCCAGAGGCCAATGGCTTTTCATTCCTTACCGCCTCCAAATGGTATGCCAGGATCCTTGGAAAACAAACTCAATAACTCCCACAATGGCCACCAGGGGGAGCGCCAAAGAAAAGAAACACTGGCCAAGAAGGCTTCTGGGTCCTTAACAGAACCAGTGTGGAGACCACCTGCTCTGAATCCCTCAAGGCCAACAGACCCCACCTTACTGGTTCAGATTCAGGCAGCCTAATGCAGCTGAGGATGCCCAACCCTGGAGGATGGCAGGCTCCAATCTGAAGGGTTCAAAAACCATAAATGGGCTGGAGAGGTGGCTCAGTAAGACTGATTGCTTACAAGCATGGGGACCTGAACTTGTCTCTAGCAGCTATGTAGAAAAAAAAAATCAGCTTTCAGGTTCACTGAGTGACTTTTCTCAAGAGAATAAGATGGAAAATAATACCTGATATCCTCCTCTGGCTCTGCATATGTGCTCACGGGTACACACACACACACACACAAATAGGAACTGTGAGAAAGAAAAGAAACACTATGGAAGACATGAGAATCTTCCATTCAGCAGTGCTTGGCCAGACTGGAAAGCTCCACATGATGACCCAAAGTAGAGATTTCCATTTGCCACGTCTGCCTCCTACATGTTCAGTCCCTGGAAGTTGGTTTACATCACCTCCTTGCACTCTGAGAATTTTTCCAGAGAATTTTCTAGAGTGTCCTGAGCAGAGGTAGAAAGTAGTGAAGAGGTGAAGACAGTCAGTTTCCCAGCAACTCTTTTGAGATGCCTTCTGTAGCAGGTCCTGAGACACAGCCTCCACCCCCGACCCCTCCATCCCTCTCCTCTCCGTGGGAGAGGCAGGGGGATGCCTAGAAATTATTAGCTGGGTACTGGCTATATTCAAAGGGTTATGGAAGTCACCAAAATAGAGTATTTGCTCTTAAGGCATTCACAATCCCATGAAATGCCAAAATTAACCCAAGTATTCCTTCCAGAAGGACAAGGAAGAGTCGGCTATGAATCTGAGCTCAAACACTGCTTGGCACTTCCTTTTATAGAGTTTTATTGGTACACACTACATCTGTTCAGTTACATATTATATGCAGGGGCCTTTTTCCAACAATGGCAGAATTGAATCTGTCCCTTGCAAAAGTCTGAAATATTTACTGTCTCCCTTTCACAGAAAAGATGTGTCAACTCCTGCATAGTTATGGCTGATAGGACAAAAAACATTTGGAAAGATACTCAATCTCAGTTTTGTTAAGGAAGTGCAAATCCACACCAGCTCACAAATAACAAGATTGATGGTTTTTTTTTTTTGAGTTGAGGTGATAGCTTAATCAATACTAAAGTGTTTGCCTTGTAAGCATGAGGACCCGAGTTTGATCATCAGAAGCCGTATAAAAAGTCAAGTGTGCTGGCATACTCTTGTTTTCCCAGCTCTGTGGAGGCAGACACAGGTGAATCCCTGCGGCTTGCTCTCCAGGCAGTCAAGCCCAATTGATGAGCTCTAGGCCAATAAGAGACCCTTTCTCAAATACCGAGGTGGATAACAAAGTCATGACACCTGAGGTTGTCCTCTGGCCTGCACAAGCATGCACACACATGTGCACCCACACACGTGCACACGCAGATACACAAACATGTTCATGGTAAATATACATAAATACTAAGTGTTGGTGAATTTGTGGAATGTTCATGCACTGCTGGTGGTACAACTACTGTGGGAAACAGTTCTCCCTCCCGTTAAACAGAATTATGAAATGATCCAGCAATTCCACTTCTGGCCATATATCCAAGAATATTAAAAACAAAACGTTGAAGAGATATTTGTAGATCCAGGTTCACACCAGCATTAATTGAAATAGCCTAAAAGTGGGAACAGCCCCAGTTTCCATCCATGGAGGAATGAATAAGCAAAAATTAGATGTGGGGTTAAGGAAGAAGGATTAGACTAAAGATAGCTAGGAGGTTCACTCAGAGGAGTTGGTGGCTACTGATGATGTCTGTAACTGCACCTAGAATTGGGCAAGATTTGGGAAGTG